GCGATTCGCTAGCGTCCGCGGTCGCGTTGCGGTACCAGCCAATTGAGTGATTCACTGGCCGCGACGCGACCGCAGACGCTAGCGAATCGCGCGATTCGCAAAGTCTGACATCGGCCTTAGGTCTCACACATTTTTCGACCACCAGCCATTTTTCGATTATTTCGAGAAGAGTATTGATTTTACGCGCACGCTTGATTAGTGCCATTTCTCACATGTTTGCGCCCTTAGATTGAGGGCAAAAGGAGCCCAGGAAATTGCGGAAGACTTCTAGCGTATACCTTGGCTCGTTGTGGTATCGTGGCGAACACGTATGGAGCAAATGGAGCCAGTGGTATAAATCGACCGGAGCCGGCTTCTGTGGTTAGCGTGTTGTTGGACCAAACAACCTGAAAAAAAGAATAATGAAAATACGGCTACTCTCCAGTTCCTGCTTGGCCGCTTGCGTGAAGAATAGTTGCAGATGTCAAAAGAACTCACTTTTCCTCGTGAAATTGTGGTTTCAGCGACACCATGGACCACCATTCCTTCGAATATATTGAAATCCACGGCCTAGACAAGAAAATCAAGTGAAACTTTCTGGGGAATTAAAAAAGAATAAAAGTACTTGGTGATGAGTGTCCTTTCGAGATTTTTCGGGTCGCATCAGGATCCCATATGACTAGGTCAGCATCTGAACCGACAGCGACTCGACCTTTTTTCGGATAAATGTTGAATATTTTTGCAGCTGTCGAACTGAAAATGTAGAGTTTGGTCGGGAGTGGCAGATATCACTTCTTCATAGGCAACTTTATGCTATATTATAAATATTATAATAATATCTTATAATTATGAAAGTTATAAGTTATAACTCTTATAAATATAAAGCTTAACACTTCAATTTTTGTCGTGCGTGATCGCGGCGCAGCGTGATTGATTAATTGTCGTGCTGCGCCGCGACCGCACGCGACTACCAGAAGCCAGAATTATTTCTCCGTTCGTCTCTGTGACTATTTGGCTTTATTTTCTCGCTAGTAATTGGTTTTGGCCCGCTTCTTCAACGAATTCGTTGAAAAGAACCGGTCACGAAGAATATTGATTAATCCTATTTTAAAGCTCACGATTCTTCGCCACCAACTTGTCATGACGAGCTAGCAACCAATTAGGAGGTCGTTTGCACATGTTATGCTGATAGCCTCTATCATTTCAGCAAGCATCATGCTTTGATTGATCACGCATCCCATGAAAAGTTATAGGATACACTCTGGAAGTGGAATATCTCGTCACATTGGCAATCGAAGGGCGCTGCTGCTGGGGGGGGGGAGCACAGACCGTGGCGGGCTCAGAAGGAATGGCAAGCCTTGTACGCTGCAACTAGCGCAGCGTTGACCACAAAAACGCAATATTTCGTTTCCTTGGGCCCCTGACTACTGCTTCCAATGGTGCATGTACTTCCACGCTGCATACGCGCTTTATCGTAATCTCTCGCTTAAAAGAAGAAGTTAGCGAAGAGCAGCAGTATTAGCTGAAGCAGCAGAGGCTGGGAGGAGCATCCGCAATGCCCGCCGAAGCTTTGCCAGCTACAAGACCAAGATGACCTGCCTCCGACGTCCGGATGGAACAGTTACTGCATCCCGAAGGGCAATGGAGAAAGTCATCCACGACTTCTACTCGGATCTCTTCGATAGCCATGTCCATCTGCCCACTTATCAACTGCAACAGGATGGATACGTCGTCCCCTCAGTTCTCTCTTCCGAAGTCCGACACGCCATCAAGTCGGTGAAGAATCGTACAGCACCCGGTCTCGACAGGGTCAAACCGGAACATCTGAAGAATGCGCCGCCAGTCATCATCAAAACTCTGGCTCGACTCTTCACGCGCTACCTGTCGGAATGCAAGGTACCCACTCCGTGGAAAACCAGCAGGACCGTGTTGCTGTACAAGAAGGGAGACTGGACGACATTGGCAACTATCGCCCAATCTGCCTGCTGTCTGTAATCTACAAGCTATTCACTCGAGTCATCCAACAGGATCGGCAGAATACTAGATGAAGGACAGCCATGCGAGCAAGCAGGGTTTCGAAGAGGGTTCAGCACGATCGACCATATCCACACGGTTACAAGACTCATTGAAGTTTCACGAGAGTACAAGATGCCGCTTTGTCTCACGTTCATCGACTTGAAGAAGGCCTTCGACTCTGTGGAGACAGAAGCGGTCATCGAAGCCTTGGGCAACCAGGGCGTCCCTACTCAGTACATCAAGATTCTTCGTGAGCTCTACAGCAACTTTACGACCAGGATCTCACCATTCTACAAGGAGGTCATCATCGACGTCAAGAGAGGGGTTCGACAGGGCGACACCATCTCGCCCAAACTCTTCAGCGCCGCTCTCGAGAACGTCATGCGTCAACTGGAATGGGAAGACATGGGAGTGAAGGTCGACGGCCGGCAACTACACCACCTTCGTTTTGCTGACGACATCGTTCTTATAACGCCGAACATCGAGCAAGCGGAGCGAATGCTGGCTGATTTCGACTGCGCCTGTGGTAAGGTTGGCTGAACCTAACGAAGACGATGTTTATGAGAAACGGATTGGTTCCTGATGCCCCCATTCACGCTCAACGGAACGAACATCACCGAATGCTCCAGCTACGTGTACCTAGGTCGGGAAATCAATATGATGAACGATCTAGCTCCAGAGCTGAGCAGGAGGAAACGAGCGGCTTGGGGAGCGTATAAGAACATCGAGGGAGTAGTGAAGAAGACGAAGAACATCCGGCTCCGTGCCCACCTCTTCGATTCCGCTGTCCTTCCTGCCCTAACCTACGCCTCAGAGACTTGGACTCTGCGCAGGCAGGACGAGCATGCGGTCAGCGTTATCCAACGCTGTCGAGAGGACGATGCTAGGAGTACAATACACACGCAAATGCAGAGGGGAATCCGGAGTTTCGAACTACGCCCAACGGTCGAAGGTCAGAGACATTGTTGTTTTTAACAAGGAATCGAAGATCAAGTGATCCGGATATGTCATGCCATTCCGCGACGACCATTGGACCAGAGCGGTTACTGACTGAACCCCTCGGGACCACGTCAAAATCCAATACCTGGACTGCACCCTCGCCTTGAACCTTATCGTCACACTCTTATTCTATGAAAGCTCCGAACGAGAAGAAGAAAAGGCTAGGTGTGCTTCTAGCGAGGAGAATCCATTGGACCACTATTGCGCGCGACAGCCAATGGAGACGTTGCTTGCACCCGCTCAACGCCCGCTTCAGTGTCAACTAGACGACAGGTGATACTGGTGAATGTTTCTGGCTTAGCCTAGTGCGACTCCCGACCGCTTTTGATTATCACCAGATTAGTCCCCCGTCAACCGCCGGGACCTTCCTTTCCTGCGCAAGCTTTCTATCCTCCGCTATGGTCCCTTCCTCCTGTGACACCAACACCCGTGGAAGTGACGCGTATGCAACACAATGGTGTTTCAAACAGTAGAAGGGACACAATCATGATGACGGTAGATTTTTCGCTTCCCTCCTCCTCATCCTCCCTTCCTCTCTCCACTGCCCTCCAGCTGCCACTGCAGCACCATGTGGAATGAACGGAAGTGTGCTAAGCAGGTGTTTATATAGCCCTGAGAGTGTTATCACAACTATCTACAAAACATGATATCTCAAATCCTGTAAGCTACCCGATTTGTTAGCGGTTTGTTTATCCCTTGAGCTTCCTTCTCACTCACTTCATTTTGCGGACGGACACACATACACACTCACACACACACACACTCACACACACACACATACAGATACACAAACCGACACACAAAGTTAGCGCTTTATAATATAGTAGGATAGGATTATCGCTC